GAAGGAAACAACGGGGGGAAAGCGAGAGAAAAAAACGCATTGAAATGCGAGACCAGTCCTTCGTTTGTACCGCACTTTTTGTAACTATTCTGACGCTGAGACCACAGACTTTTTTTTAAAAAAGGGGGAGTTTTGTTAAAGCTCTTTCTTTTTAAATATAAACATAAAATGTACTCTTAATTGTGGCAAAAACGCACAGCTTAGGAACAGCAGCGGTCAAAAAAAAAACTTTTCAGTATTCTTCACTGCATTGCAGATGCCAGCCAACGAATCACAGGCATCGTACACGGAGACAATCAGCTTTCGATGCCAAGCCCAGTTCAACTGGCAACCATTACTGGCTCCGCGCTCGTGCCTTAATCTCACTTGGCATGAGAAGAGCAAAATGGTGGTTCGCAAATCAATGGCACAAACACACAGGCACAAAAAACAAGGATTCCGTGCTCGGCAGATTGCGACGATTTTTTTTAAAACAAAAATGATACGATTTTACTGCGCTGCCGCCCAACTCACTGCGAATAAAGGATCCGAAGCACCCCTTACGCATGGATCTCCTGACTCGAGGCTTTGCAGCATTTCCCTTTAGTTTGTTTGATTTAGGTTGTCATGCCATCAGTCGGCTACTTCCCTGACATTGTCTTCCACTCCAGTACTCAGCCTGTGCCACTTACACAAGAAGCCCTTTTGCAAAGCCCTTGCACTCTTGTGATGCCAGTCATGCCCCCCTAAGAAACAAATGACCAAATTCGGGATTTTTTTAAATAAAAAAAGTAGGACCCACAGAGCAGATTGTATATGAAATGTGTATGTTGCCGAGTTAATAAACGTGTACATCGAAAGATTTTAATTGGAAAGTCGTATAATGGGGAATGTGCAAACTCTTTGTTTATATGCATGCGTGTGTATCTATGTATGTTCATGTACTGTATGTGTGTGTACATATATGTATTTTTGTGTATGTGTGTTTGTATATACAGCATGTGTGTGTATGTTTGTGTGTATATGCTTGCGTGTGAGTGAGTGATTCATTGAGAAAAATAGAGAGATAGTGAGAGAGGAAAGGGATGAAGTTTGAAAAGAACAAAGTCATGCTATTTCATGTGGTGCAAGTTTCAAGCGTAGGATTGCTTTACTCTGTACCTTCGGTAGAGTTAATAGATTCGGTGAGAGACCTGCCCTGTCTTACTTGCAGGGGTTTACAATAGGCGAGAATGTTAAGTCTGGTCAAGCCATCATTGCTGTTGGTAAATGTATACTGAGCAAAATGCCAAACTCAAAAAGAAAAATAATGACTTTCATTTCGTTAAAAGAAATGCTAAAGGCCTGTGTTAAAAAAAGATTCTTAATTTTTTTAAAACCAAATTAAAAAATCCATTAATATAGGAATATTAACTGCAAAGAAAATCTGCAGCAGCATATTATTGACCCAAGCGTTACACTATGGTTTGAGCGTGTGTTTTTGTATGCTACTTCGAAATAGGAGTGTAAGGGATAATTCTATTTTGTGGAAATTCTTCTAACACTGTTAGAGCTGCTCTGTGAATGAGCCAGGAGAAACATCTCTCTGTGAAGAGATGGATATGGTCTCTTTTTCCTCACTCCCAGGTTGCTCAAAAGACCGCAGCACAAAGCGAAGCTCCACGTAGCACATGAAGCTGTCATGAAAATGCAGTCACCAAAGTGAATGAACTGAGGCGATCTCATATGCGGTATTTCTTATCATTTTTCTTAATAAGAAATGGGTGAATCATCAAATTTCTAAAGCGAATATCTAATTTGCTGAAGAAATCTTTGATATTTATAAATGTGACAATTACAAATTTGATGCGTTAGCAGCTCAATAATTAAATATTTCTTATTCCGAAATATTGTAAGTTAGACTTTCAAAACTGCTGTGCTGGCACAAATGTCTTTTGCTGCAATTATTCCCTTCGACTCTATTTTTGGAACGTTGTACCATGCGTTTCCACACTGTGTTGAAGGAAATGCAAGAGTATAATTAATTGCAACAGACCCACAGCCCTTCCTTGTTCTCAAAGTCGCCAACTTCTTTCCACCACTACTGCAGAAATTGGCATTTGAGAGAAAATTACGTTTTGCATTGCCTCTTCTCAGCACAGTGGTCAGATTTTAATCTGTGGCTCAACATAAACTTCATATGGGGTTTGAGCCCAATTTCAACAGCTGCTTGTGGTAGTAAGAAGGAGATATTTGCGAGCTCATGCAAGATACAATAATTTTAATCAGGCATACTTGTGTCTATGCCTGTTATTTCCCATGTTGGGGGTGTATGTTATTCACCCAATTTCCCATGTCAACTGCCTCAAGGTCCTAGACTAAAAAATACAGTATTTCTGGTCCTTGAATTTCCTACATACAATCAAGTGAAAACATTTTCTGATGATTTGAGGCCTGAAAATCCTCCTGGTCTTAACCCTTCCCCTTAAAATTTAAGATTGTGCAAAAAGTTGTCGTAAAAAGTTGGCGTTTTTTTAAAAAAAATCAAGTTCTTAATACGAAGACTTGCGGAAATCCGGAAAAACTCTTTATTCAATCCATTCATTAAAAGCATTGAAGAAACACATGATGACGTTGCATTTTGCTCACACAAGCAACAACCCCCCCCCCCCCCAAGTAACTGTACTGCCACCAGTTATACAAACAATGATATGAGTATTGTGAGGATTCAGGCCTTGCAAATATATATGAATTTAGTATTTACTATTACCGAGAAACACTGGCACCACGCTGATACACCTTTATAAATCAGCACGGAGGCTTTGAGAAATACATTGGGGAGAGAAATGAACAAGAAAAGTATGTGCACAACCACCTTTCAGAAAACAGCCGAACAGCTATTGCAGAACGGAATTTCCAAAGCAAAGTGCATCGAGATAATGCATTATAGAAGACAGCAGGGCAACCTAGAACATGGAGAGAACATCCTTGTGCATGTATTCATCTTAAAAAGACAACCACACTTTTTTATTAAAAAGGAAATAATAGTTTAGTTCAACTAAGTGTCTTGAACATTGTGTAAACAGTATCTTTGTTTCAATCCTACCCGTGAGACATACCTGAGCATTTATGGAGGGGGGGCGAAATAGGGAAAGGGAGAACAATTCCTTTTATTTATTTCTAAGTTGGGTAACTATTTGCCAATTGGGCATCTTCCTTGTATTGTATCTTCTTGAACTACCTGCTCAAACTTCACAAAAGCTGGATGCTGCTCGCCTTCGGGATCTTGTCAATTCCTAATTTTCCTTTTGACAAAACCATGGAAAGAGCAACACTTTTAGATGCAAAGCCTCTGTGGTTGTGCACACTTTCTATATTCACTCAATCCAAAATTTGTTTGGATTAAATTATATGCGAGAACATATAACAGCTCATCTCAAATTTGGAGAAATTGCCAAATGTCCAATCTTCACTGTAAATTTGAACGAATCGCCCATTCTCACTCACAAAACTCATGTGAAATAGGACAACCATGTGGGAAAAACAATTTTTCACATTAGATTTGATGTTCTGACATCAAACTTCTGTTATGAAAATCGGTTTTCATCCCAATGCTAGCGATTGTTACTGTTGTCATTGCTGAAGAGTTTGCTGTTTCACTTGACCTTTTTTCTTTGTTTCCCAAACACTGTCACATGATGACACAATATTTGTCTAAGTGTGACATGAAAACATCGCTGGTCCGTGTTGTCACAGCGGTAAACAGGACTCTGAGCCTGAAATTTCACCTAGTCTTCATCTGTAAAACCATTTACCTCAGCATTTAAGAATGCACGGAATGGTGCAAAATTGGCAAAGTGCGTCTGAATTTGGAAGCAAGATTTCTTCATTTTTAAAAAATATATACCAGCTTCCAAATAAAGAGTGACGTTAAGAATTTTTCATAGGTCTGCGCAATCTCAGATTTCAAGACAAAATGGCCATGCGGGCTGAGACAAAGTGGAATTCCAGGTTTCTGTCTCCTCCAAATGTTCCCCTCCCACCAAGTAAAATAGGCCCATGTACACCATGAGGGGGATAGACCTAATTCTATTTCTATAATGGCATAGTCCTCTCATGACCTAACGCATGGAAGATGAAGAGGTCAAGCAGAAGCACATGGAAAGAATGGAGATGAAGCAATATAAATCAATGCTAGTCACAGATACACCTTTCGTGGCCAAGAAAAAAGTGGCGTTTACCAAAGCCAAGGAGGAAGTCACTTGCCTGCCTTCAAAGAGAAAATGCTGTAAGAGGAGCTAAATGACGTGGGGGTGGGGGGGGTAGGCGGGGGGGGGGGAAGGAATGGAAAATTATACTTGTAATGCTTCAAAATAATCAAACAAAATAAGCACAAACGATTTCAAACATTCTCATCAACGGTTCTCGCGGGAAAAGTGTTATTTTTATTTCCATGGCTGTGAAGAGAACCTTTGAATGCTAGGTTCACAGACACATTTAAGACTCTATCAAGAGATGAAAGCATACATACAATAGGAGGAATATTCCTTTCCTCACCCCCCCCCCCCGATTGTTCACAGGAGAGACAACCAGCGTTCATTTCAGAAACAGAGCAAAGTTAGCTCTGAATCACCAACTTTGATGCATTTGACCCTCTTCACTTACTGCAGTAGTTAGGAAGGAAATGACAATTCCCCAGTTATCTTTAAGAGAATAAATTTTTATAAAATTATAAAACGGTCAGTGCAGGCAGTCACACAAATGTAATGCACTGCGCATCATGACACGTTACTGCACTATGGAGCAACCTCAGTGTACATTTCTTCACTCAAAACAAAAATAAATGATGGTCTAATTGGTGCGAACTGTTTGACAGTGCAGGTGGGCAAATAATTTCAAATCTCTAAGTAGAATCAGAAATCTCAGATTTTTTTAAAGGTTTTAAAAGAAAATATGAACCTAGCAAAAGCGTACTTTAACTAGGTGCAGATCTCGATGCAACCCCTGACCCACATCCCACCATGTAAATACCCGCCCCTTACCTTGCTCCTGTGCGTAGTAAGCCAAGAACAGATCCAGCTCCTTGACTGATACGGTTATGTGGTGTGGCTGCACGCAGAGCAATGGGTTAGAGCACTGTGAGGATTTGACAAGCCGCTCGCCATCAGTACTTTCCAATGGGATCCCTTTAAACAGGATCACCATCACTAGATCCAGCCGCCAGACTTTATCGGCTTGTCGCAAGCAATCGATTCTTCGCATCTTGCCTTTCTGATCAGGGTTGGACAGGACGCAGCAAGGGTGCTTCTTCCCTGTGACGGTGAGCACAAAATCTTCCCGGTACTCCTGGCGGATGTCCTTGCGGAGCTTGGCTAGCAACCTGGACGCCCATTTCTGCTTGATCTCAGGCTTCTCGCTCAACAGCTCATCCTTGACTGCTCTCTCCTCGTCCTTGGACATTCGCTTCTCGTGCTTCTTGAAGTATTTGCGTTTTCGGGCTTGCAGGTTGAACCAAGTGTATGCGATGGCACGGACGTGCGGGAGAAGCGCCTCGATAAACGGATGGAATTCATCCTTTAGTGAAGAAGAAACAACAGAAAGGAAAGAAAAGAAATAAGAAACAAAGTTAGCAATAAAAACAATTTTATTCTCCTCAAAATTAGGCCATCAGTAACGTAACTGAATAAAGAGGCACATTGTAAATTTCACTTCACTGCCTGTGATTTAATTGGGGGCAGGCAAAGCACCTTCCGTATTGAAAAGAGAAAACTGAGCAGTGATATTTCTCTGGCTAAAAAATGGGAGCATCTTATTTTGATGTTTGATCAAGGCTTAGATACCATTTTAAAAATGAATACTCGGTGGAAGTCAGTCGTGTCAGCCGGTAGGACTCGGGCGAAAGCAGCAGTGAGTGTCACAATGTGTTGTTTTCCTCCTCACAGAGTGGACAAACGAAGCTAAACACAGTACTACACAGAACCTCCAGCGGGCACCTACAGACCCCGCTTGTTGAGGCTGCTCTCAGCAAGACGGCACTGAAATCAGTGGCGCATGCGCCAATGGATCCGATCCTATTTCTCCTCAAATCTTCCTACATTCCTGTACTGTAGCAGCCCCATTCCATTGTCAGTAACTACAGAAACCTTTGCATGGGCAAGCAGGGGGAGGGGAGCCATGGGGGAGGAGGTTACTGTTCTTTGAAGCACCAGACAGGAGAGAGAAAGAAAAGAACTGAAAGTCTCTGCCAGCTGTGCCAATGTTTCAGACTTCTTTCTGCTTTCAGTTTTACACCTCACACTTTATAATTAAAAAGGCTCCGCTCACGGGAAGTGCAGTTTCAGGACAGAGTAGGAGGCCCTGTAAAGCCAGTTCATTTATCAGGCCAATTGCATTCAGTAATTATTCCAAAACCCCTTTAAAGCATCACTGGTGATGGACAATGAGAAATGCCAACTTGGCACAGACTTGGCATTCTTTGTGCTCTGCTCACTCTGGCAGGGATGTCACTCCCAAGTTAGCCAGGAGATTTGTAAAGTGCTGATTTAAAATGGTACTTTATGCACTGTCTGGTTCCTTTATTTTAAAAAAGCCTTCTGGATTGATTAATTGATTAATTAATACATTTTAAATTTGACATATACAAGAATCCCTTCAAAGAATTGCAATATTTGCTTATTGATTCAGGGCTTGCCCCCACGCACCTAAAAATAAAAAACACGTAAACCTTTTCAGCACATGTATTAATGTTCTGGGCCGTAGATGTTCATTTGCACAAAACCAAAGTTTAGAACGCTTCAGTGGCTCGACCAGCGAATAAAATTTAACAAAAAAAAACACACGGGTTATACTGCAAAAAGAATTTGTGCTGTGCTTCAATTTTCATTTATCCAATGCAAGCTTTTAAAGTAGACCCCTAGGCGAGCACTATGGATATGCAAAATGAATATTAATATTGATTTTTTTTGGGTGAGCGGGATTAAATAGCGAGGCAAACTCTAAATGAAATATAACAGTCATGGAGGCACTGGATTTATGAATTTGCCAAAATCAACACAATAAGCCACTGAAAGAGTTAAGCCACAAACTTCTTTTTGCATGAATAGCAGCTCTGTTCTGGGTAACCGCAGCCCAGGATAAAACGCTGCAGCTCCTCGCCCTTACTGCCATTGTTTGCTTTTCAAACTATCCATTTACAGGAAACTTAGGTTTGAAGCCAGGTGCAGAAAAATATAAAATGTAAAAAAAAAGTTGCTTTTTCCCATACTTTAATGCGTTTACGATAGCAGAAAAATATTTTTCGGGCAGCCTTGGAATTTTCTGTGCAGAGAGCTTAGCAACCATAGTGAGAGCGTGGCGGGAGCACCCGATGCAGGTCTTTGTGAATTAAAAACTTAAAAGCAAGGTTTCAAAAATCTTTTCCATTGCAAAGGAGAAATCACTCGTGATCCCCTCCCCGCACCCCAAAAAAACCTAACACCTTTTTTGTCTTTAGTAATTTTAGATACAAGTCAACGTGTTGGTTTCGCAATTGCAGCAATAAATTGGAACCACTTCACTTAACCTTTGCACACTCTCTTCATGTACAGTACTTGAGAAACCACTTGCACACCAAATTGTTCTAATGCCAAGCAAACCAGCTCATGAAAACCAATTCCAAAAGTGAAGAGAAAATGATGCGGAATTTCCGTTCGAACAATTTTTTTCTGAAATGAAAGCAATTTACTATAAGAATTTTGTGCCAAATGAAAAGTTGTAATTGACTTTTACCCTATCTTTTAAGTTACTATTAAGATCTGAATTACCGCTGATTTTTATTGTAACATTTAAAGACTCTGCAATAATAACCGTATGGGCAGGAGATGTTGGGATATTTTTCCTGGTGGGCGCCACGGAGTGGAAACCAAACCGCAGAATGATTAAAAATATTAAAGGCATTAAATTAAGTTTTATTTTCCTAATTCCGAGACAAGAAAAAAATCCAGAATTATAGACCAACAACCTCTGCAACCTCTCTGTGAAAAATACAAATTCTTTCGTACACGAAATTACCGCAAAGACAATTTAAAGCTATTTGAAGCAACGGGCAAATCCGTTCGGCTGAAAATACCAGCCCCAAAATAAAAGGGCGCAACTATCTTTTCTGTTTCGCTGATTGCGGGCAGCACACTTAGTATTGTGCTGTGAGTCCGCACAACTTTTCTTTTCCAAGCCAAACACAATTTTATAGTTTTGTTCCTGCCCGTCCACCATCTGGCTTTAGATTGCCAGAATAAAGTCAATGTAGCTGCACTCAGTTATTTTAATTGGGGGTATGCCATTGCCAGCCATTTGCGGAACTGTTTGGAAATACATTTAAACTGTAAACTGACCATTTTAAATTAAACCCACAAACTGCAACTTTCAAATGGATGTTCTTTGAGAATTGGAGCAAATATGACAGGCAACTTCGAAATGCTCCAAAAATATCATGTCAACAGTTTGGAGATCTTTTATGTCCTTGGTAGATTCATTTGATTTTCCTAGGTTTCTTCCTATAGCAAATTTGGCATTGCTCAGAAATTTATTTTTATTTTAAGGCGTTTAGATATTTGGCAGAACAAACTGCAACTGAGCACAGATCTATGTATGCAACTTGATTCACATATTTTTTCAAGAAAATAAGGCCATTTAGTAATTCCAATATATTAATTTTTTTAAATTTAAATAAAGTTTCAACACACTCAATTCAATTATAATTTTTAAAAGCTTAAAGCGCGCAATCCCGTTGTCAATGAGCACAGTATTCTAAGGTCTCTGATCTAATGAAACCAAACTTTGGCTTTGATACCATCATTCGCAAATGGGTAAATGTAGTCTCCAGTTATATTTGCAACTATCAGTTAAAAACTTTGAAACTTCCAGAGTCTAAATAAAACACCTTACATTTAAATTCTAGTGAATTTGTTGCATTGTCGAAAATAATAATTTTCATGTTTGTTATTAAATATCATTACAATTTAATGAACATCAAAATGATTTATTTTTAAATAAGCTACAGGAAGAATGAAAATATACAAAAAAAATCATTTTAAGTCGTAAATTGTTTGTGTTGATTGGCACATGCGGAGCCCTGAAATATAACAAAGCACGCCTTTCTCGATTACTGAATAAATATTAAAAGCAGCAATATTAGCGAATATCACCTGCGAGATCGATCTGTGCATGATCCCCAAATTCAGTCTGAATTTGTTTTTAAACAGGAAACATTTGTGAGTCTCAACAAATAAAATACCTACAAAACTTTTATTGTCCCAAATTATTTCAAAAGCGGCCATCAAAGTACATAAATTCTTCAACTGTATTTCGCTATTTATCTCAACGACCTGTTCTGTCAATTGTTATCTGACAGCTTTTCCCCCTAAAATATTTCAAGCTGCGTTTTATATTGCTGCATTTTTGCAGAAAAAAACAACCTATCTTCCTTTAATCTTTTCATGACGCCAAACAAAACAGAAAGAAGGAAATACAAAAGCGTTAGAAAAACAAGTGTATGGCTGTTCTCAATTATGAAAACCACATCATTTTTTCATCTTCATGCTCAATTCATACAGTTAACACGCCTTCCCTTCAATTTGTTTTCAGCTAAAAACGTGGTCAGCACTTTGTGTTCAGTTTCCCAATCGACTATTTGTAAACCAAAAGGTATGCATTTCACTAACCGCATATAACTGTAATTAATAAAAAGCTACCTTTCCTGGACTTTCTCCAGCTGTTAGTTTTAGTAATTAGGAATTCTTTGAATGCTGCAAACTTCGATTGCGGTCATTTTAATTGATAGATGTAGGATGGAAACCAGAATTCGATACATAAATTTACAGGATGATAATTTTGCCAAATGGCTTTTCCTCATTTATGCAATTTATTTTGCGCCATTAAACATCAAACAACTATAAAATAAGGACAAAATGTAACAAAGTAAAGTAAATCAATAGCAGTCCAATAAATATAGAATTTAGCTCATTGTTTACGGTTCAGTTTAATGCGCTTTTTCATTTCTGGTTTCATCCAAAATAATACAGTTTGAAAGCCAAGGTCTCATTCTTTTTTTCCCAGAATGGAGCTTAATTTACGTTTACCTGTCTAAACAGGATTTTAAAGATATTTGTATTTATAGCAACTAATTTTTTTTAAATTTCAACTATATGAATGTCACGCTCAAAAAATGCCGATAGTGCAGAATGATTCCGCTCTCATTTCTCAACTTTCAATGCAATTTTTAAATTTTGTGAGGCATACAAACTCAAAACAGAGAAGTTTACTTTAAATAGCGACGAAAACAATTCAAAGATTTTATCCCATCCATTAACAGTGGGTCAGGGGTAATTTTTAAAAGAAAAAGTACATCGCTTTTTTAAATTCTAATTCCTTCATATGACTATAACAATCTTCTTCGCCTACAATCAAGTGTGATTATTTTTATCCCAACGACAATTTTTTTTCTGACCAAAACAAATATAAAAAAACAAATATTTGTCCTTTCAAACGGATGACTGTACAGTCCAGTATTTATTTGAATGTCTGATATAAACCTTGGCGGAAAACAGCCTCAATTATCTTACGCAGAAATATAAATCGTAATCATCAGTCTCGTTCACCTAAAGTGGAAAACTCTATTGCAATGCTCGAATCAAATTAATTTAAATCAATTGAAAAGGAATAAGTGGACAAACATTTTAGGAAAAAAGTGACTGTTAAAGAAATCCTTTTATAAATTTGTGAACTTGGGTTCTGCATTGGTTACCAGTTAAGAAATATGATTTCACCTGAAATTGTTACATATAAATAAGTTTTACAGGTCTTTTGCAAAACTAACTTGTTCAACTAATCCTGCAAGGTTCTTCGTTACATAAATCCCCAGCACGAAATCCCCAAAACAAATTGAAGAAACTTACAAAAAATGCATTGTATTGCGTGTTTTTTTTTAAAAAGTACATGGAGCCAGATTTGCTATTTACTGGTTAAGCTGAAGTCAATTTATATATTTAGTCAAATTAATGGCAGTAAAAACAGCAATGCTTTTCCTATCCATTCCACAATTGCATCCAGCCGTTGCCTTAATGGTAATTATTAAAAAAAAACTTTCGGACGAAGCTATCAAATAGCCACAACATGGATCTCAAAGTTTGAAGGGGGGGGAATAAAATCATAAGAGCTCTAAAATACATGTCGGTGGCTACTGTGGGCAGTTATCACACAACACACACACACACATTCTCGCACTGAAGTCCTCAGTGTCACTCAGGGCTACAGTAGCACAGTACACAAGAGGCAAAACCAGAGGGAGAGGGAGAGGGAGAGTGGCTTTCCAGGTCCTGGGAAGCAGCAAATGCGAGGATTGTTATACAGAGTGATGTGCAGTGTTAGTTTGCTCCACTTCTCCTCTTCCTCTTTAAACTTGGAAATCAGACAGACAGACACACAGACAGACAGACACACACAGACAGACACACACACAGACAGACACCAACAGATTTGCTCTCTCTGCTATCGGGTTTAACAGTCCTGTGAAGCACCCACACACCCCCACCCCCCCCACACCCCCCCCCCACACACACACCCACCCACACCCCCACACCCCCTTTTCATGTTGCAACGCAAGAGCTCACAAGAAAATAAAAAGTAAAGTGCGGGAGGGAGGGAGGGAGGGAGGGAAAGAGACAGAGAGAGACAGAGAGAGAAAGATCCAAAGCGTATTAAAAAAAATACAACTACCTGAGTGAGACAAATGGGAGAATACATCATCGCGGCGCCACAACCAGATAACAACCAACAGTAACTCCAGCAGCAAAATATATATATTCTGGTGTTTGTTTTTTAGACGGATCTGAGCAACTCGTTATCCATTCATTGGGAACTCAGCGAATAAATGCGAGAGAGTCGGGGAGGGAGGGAGGGAGGGAGGGAGTGGGGTGGGGGGGGGGGTTGTTGGCGCCTAAAGATCCTGTGGGCAGGTATCCCGAGGGTGGGGGTCCGGGCTTGGCAATCCCTCTCCCTCACTCACACACTCACACACACACACTGCAGCACTATAGGATGGTGCACGATACGACGTTGCACGGTACCCCCCCCCCCCCTCCCCACACACACACACACACACACACACACACCCTCCCCACTCCGATCGCGCCTGAGGTTCAAGTCCAAGTGCTTCCAGTCCAGCAGTAAACCAGGCAAAACTTTCGATGCAATGCGTTAAAAAGCGACGCAGGGCAGAGGAGGGGAGGGCAGGGCAGGGAGGGCAGGGCAGGGAGGGCAGCTCCTGGGGCTGGCAACGGGATGCGAGGCACCAGGTGGATAAGAAAGTGCCGCTTGGCGTCTCCGGCACTGGGTGCTGTGGTGGTGGGTGGGGGGTGGGTGTGGGGTGGGGGGGGGGTGGGAAAAAAAAGGTGACTGTGTGTGCACCTTCGAGGAGCGATCTACAGGGTTTGGGAGATATTACAGATTTCTTATTTATCTCTCTCTCTCTCACACACACACACACACACACACAGACACTCTCTCTCTCTGTCTCTCTGTGGCTCCTTCAGTCGTCTCCTCCTCTCACACACCACACATACGCACTCCGATCCACCAACCCCTGATCTGCTGCTCTGTTAAAAAAAAAAGAGGGGGAACTGGAGAGAGAGAGAGAGAGAGAGAGGCAGAGAAGCAGAGACTGCTTATGCAAAAAAAATCACTCCTTTTTTTTTCGAGGTGGGGGGGGGGGGGGCAAAAGCTGCCGAGGTGTTGTGTCATTTTACAAACTGGAGACTCTGACCAACCCCTGGCGTTGGAGACAAAATGGAAAATTCCCCAGATTTCGCCAAGACACCAGCAGAAACCTCCTCAAACGTTGCAAGTCCATTGCAACTTGCACCAAAGCAGCATCTCGTCTTCCGACAGCGAAGTTGGACAGATTTCTCCAAAGAAAAACGCAGATTTTTTTTTTTTTTTTGGGGGGGGGGGGGTGGGGGGCTGCTGGTGGTGGTGGGGGGGGGGGGGGGGCGCGGAGGTTCACCAGCACTTGGCAAATATTTTAGCATCCGAAATGCTAAAACCTGGCGCTCTGCAAACTTTTGCACATTCTTTGAAAGTTTTCTATACACACAGAGAGAGAGAGAAAGAGAGAGACACACACACACACACACGCAACTTTTCAGTGCTATTGAGGGTCTGTGCGGGGATCCACCCGCACTGCAAAATTGCAAGTGGTTTATCGGGAATAATTATAGTTCAGTGACTAGAGCTAATCCCGAAGAACAGACCATCTGCATTTTTGCTCCCGTTTTCCTGCCGCGTTTAATTAATATTTGCAGTGTGTTCTCACCCAGATCGCTTTCTCACCAAAATCCAATCATTGCCTTGCGATCAACTGAAAGATATTTAATACAGATTTCTACCGATCCTAGAGAAGCAGGTGGGGGGGGGGGGGGGGGGGGGGGGGAGAATATAGTGAGGTACAGACGATCCCCTTAACTTTCCAAGACACAGTCTGGGGGAGGCGACAGTTTTGTTTGCTTTTTTCAGGAATAGGGTTAATAATAATTCAGTGGGATTGTTTTGCAGAGTTATATAGATAGATGGTCTATATATAGGTAGACAGTCGCTTTCTGCCCTTGTCTCTGCTGGCTCAGATAATATTTCGCCAACAATTTGCTCTCTCTTCCCCCAATCCCACTATCCACAAGGTTTATAGGCAATCGCCAGAGAGAGCAAAATAACCAAAATAAAATTCCATCCATTTTTCAGGTCAAAGTTTCAATTTTTTTTTTCTTTTTTCAAAACAGAAAGGTCATTTTACTGCACAGGTCGTCTCTGCTGCAGAATGTCAGGCAGAATGTAATCTGCAAATTATGTGCGGGAAGGGAGATAGATCCATTCACATCCTTAACCTTGTAAAATACAGTAAAAAATAATGGTACTTACAAGGGCGTAGATACCTTGAAATCGATCTTGTTGCATTTTGGCGCCCTTTTTAATCGCTATAATGTAAATTTAGAGGGTAAAAACTGTACAGCATTATGCACTTCAAGGCGAGCACAAACTAACGCGACTCTTAACTTCGGGCGTGTTAAAGTCAAGTAAATGTGTTTCTACATTCGCTACGTTTGGTAATGCGATTATATAACTCTCTTTGCTGAAAGGAGTTTCCAACCTTCTTGCAATGCAGTTAAAGCAGTCGCTGCCCCACACGCACAGCAGAGCTGTCATTGAACAGCTAATGTTTCAGGAGATCAGTGTACCTTTTACCTAAATCGGTTTAATTATTAACAAAAGCAAAGAACGCATATTGTAATTTAATTTTATTCCTAAGAGTGCACCTGTTTGAATAGCTGTTGAGGCCGTTTTTTATAGCCAAATGCAGGAATACCCAGGATTTAGATCCTGTATGTTTTACCGACTTAATTCTTTGAGGTTCTGGTTGCAACCTGCACTGATCCAACACTGCACTGAACGTGGCGGTGGTGGTGGTGGTGGGGGGGGGAGAAAGGAAGGAAATATGCAGTAACAATTCTGGCAGCTCATGATAGGAACTGTGTATGTTCTCAAACTTTGTTTTCCTTTGGATTTAGGAAACGGGATGTTGTACAAATCTGCATTAACTTGCTCAGCTGGACAGGATCCCACAGCGAACCAGCGCGCTAACAAAAGTTAAACTTTAACATATGTTCCCCCCAGCGCAAGTTATGTCCAGACACAGAGCTGTGCAGTGCACCGTTTGGGTGCAACTCCCTTTTTTTTTATTATGATTATTATTATTATTATTATTTAAAAAAAAAGGATCAAACGCTTTCTCTCCCTGGATTCCTTTCCTGATCTTTTGCAACAAAAAAAAAGGGCCAGAAGGCGAGTCACCCAATTGCAATGCACTTCGGAGCGACTGTTATTTACGGTTCTGGATGCGTTCAGGACACGTTTATAAGAGTTCCTCCTCTCCCCTCCCTCCCTCCCTCCTCCCTCCCTCCCTCCCTCCTCGCTTTCCCTCCTCTTTGGCGCCCTTCCTCTGCCGATCCGTGTGCTGCACATCCCCAGATCGCTGCAGACTTTCTCGCCACTTCTCTCAAGTTCAACGGCAGCAAAACAGCAGCAAAAAGTTGGCCCTATTCGCAGTCCTGTGCATTCCGATCACGCCACATCGGCATGTGGTGTCTAACTCCCACCTTAGCCCCCCCCCCCCCCCCAAACCCCCTCCCACACACACACACACACACACACACACAGCACTGTACTGTATTAATAACGCAACCTCTTAGATAGGTATAGAACGGGAGGGGGGGGGGATTATACACAGATGAAAGGGAAATCGAGACAAAAAAGTGAGGCAAGGAAAATGATGGGGAGGGGGTTGGGGGGTGGGGGGGGAGAGAATAGTAGCACGAAAAAAAAGGATACTAAGAGAGGAAGAAATTGCACATGGAAATAGGAATAGGAACAAACCAGGGAGGGCAGGAGAGAGGAAAAGTCATGCAATGGGGATAAATGAAACGGGTGGGGGGGTGGGGGGGTGGGGGTGGAGTGGGGAGGAGAGGAGAAGAGGACTGCAGTGTCTGCTTTCACCCGACATATCGTTGCCATCAATCTGGAATTTCTTGTGGAGCTGTCGAGCCAAATCAGAGGAAGAAGAGGAAGAGAGAGAGAGAGAGAGAGAGAGAGAGGGAGAGAAGGGAATGGGTGGTGGGGGGGGGGGGGGGGGGGGATCTGAAAGTAGGGAGATCTGCCAACTCAGCGTTTTCTTGGACGCAACACCAAACACTACTGATTCATTGCTGGCATTAAAAACAAATCTGATAGCAGCGTGACCTACATCGGGTGGGGTGGGGGGGGGGTGGGAGGGGGGGATGGGAGGGGGAGCTGGGGATTGCAGACACAAAACAATCCAATACTATCACCAAAAATAAAATAAAATAGCCCTGAAATAAATGCAAAGTGAAAACAGCCTTTGGAGGGGCCGGAGCATTGCAGCCAAGGCATCAAGCTGATGAAATAACACAATATATATATATATGTGTGTATGTATATATATATATATATATATATAGATAGAGAGATAAATAATAGATTAGTTTTTAAAACACATACCATTGCACAATGTTGCAAATAAAATATACTGATTGTGCACTGTGTGCCTTTACGGCGGCTTTAACGCTTCATATTGCCTCCTCAAGTTCAAAGTGAGCTTCTGCAAAACTGCTTAAAAATAAAAGGCTTTTTTTTTTGTTTCCCCCCCACCCCCACTCCCCCCCTTTTTCTCTCTCTCTCTCTCTCGAAGTGGCCTTTGCAAACCGGAAGCGATACCTCGACTTCGTTTTTGAAAAAAGAAAACAGCGGCAAAGTCAAAGTCAGGCAGTTTGCCCTTGTCAGGGCTGCCCCCCTCCCCCCCTCCTCCCTCCCTCCCTCCCTCTCCCTCTCTCCTTTTCTCTTCCTCTTTCTGCTGGAATCCTGTACTTGGCTGTGATTTTGACTCTGTTCCAGGAGGTTGGGCGGTGAGTGGGAGCACTGCCCCCCCTCCTCTCCCCTGACACTCACTGCTTCTGTGCTGCTTTCTTTCTCTCTTTCCCTCTCCCTCTCTCTCTCTCTCTCGTAGCCTTTCTGTCTGTCGCTGCGTTGTCCCCCCCCCTCTCTCTGTCTTTTGTCTGTCCCCCCCCCTCTCCCTCTCCCTCTCCCTCTCCTCCACACTCACACAAACCTCTCGGTACTTTCGTTCTGTGAATGTTATGTTCATCTGTTTCGCTGTCGGTGTTTGATCTCTCGCTTTCTGTCTGTGTTTGACATTCTTCCTCTCTCTCCCCACTATATGTGCCAATGCCCCGTGTTCAGTCTGTTTGTCTGTCTGTCCCTCTGTCTGTCTGTCTGTCTGTCTGACCTCTGTCT